TCCATTCCATTCCATTCCATTCCATTCCATTCCATTCCATTCCATTCTTTAACAAGTGGAGAGGTGATTTCCCAAGCAGCCCTGGTGTCAGCCATGAAACAGAAGCCACTGGCTCTAACGTGCAAAATGGAGCCAGCACTCTGGATCCCTCTGCTATTTTGTGTTGGTGTCCAGAAGGTCTTGCACAGCACCTGGAGCTGCACTTTGGCTGTTGGACAGGGAGAAGGCACAGCAAAGGAGTGTGCTGCTGAACTGCAGCAGGAAGGAGGGGATGAGCTCTGGGTTCCCCTGTGAGCCCTTGGGGTTGCAGCTCACCCCGTACTGCCTGTGCTGGCTGCACTGCTGCCTCCAAAAAGTGATGACCTTTCACGTTTCCTTCAGCTTGGTTCCCAAAACTGCATCTCCTTCACAGCAATCTCTCTGTGAAGATGTGTTTACCACGAAGGATGATGAGACTTTGAGCAAGTAATTGAGATTTAAAGCTCCAATTACAAGAGGAAATAAACCAGAACTGTTTTCTAAGCTTGTGTCTTAATTGGATGAAGTGCTATCAGTACATACTTCCCAAAGTCCTTGCACTATCTCCTGTGCTTGTTAGCCAGTGACCTGGTTTTCATGGACCAACCTTGTGGCACTGCAGTCCCTCACCCAGCTGCACTTGGATCAGGGGAACAGTGCACAGCAGAATGGTGATGCGTATGGCTGGAGCTCAGCTCCTCCGTTAGTCAAAATTTCTTTGGGTAGAAATATTGTTTTATGTCTATTTGGCAGCTTTTCTGCTTGCTTCTTGTTCAGGCTGAATCATATGCAGCTACATCTGAGCTCTGGCACACTGTCAGTTGTTAACAGTGCTGAGCACAATGCCTTTGGGGGTGGCAGCAAGCATAAGTGACACCTTAATAAGGGCTTCTGCAGATGTGGCCTTGGCACTAAGCTGCCCCCATCTACCACTATTGCCAGCTTGGGGCTTATTAGTCACACATCCCACCTTTGAGAGAACTATTTTTGATGTACCTGCCCTGCGTGAAGCCCTGCTCGGTTTTGCTCTCCCTGCTGATGTTGGCTGCCTGCAGCACCAGGTGTGGGGAGGGCTGGGGTCAGGGTAAGCACCGCACGGTGGCTGGGAATCACTCAGTATTCTCTGCAGTTGGAGCCCAGCTCTGCCTGCCCCTGGGCTGATTTTGCTCCAGACTCTCCCCTGTGACAGGCTTACACTGCTGTGGTTTGGGTGGTGGCTTCCTCGCAGGGGACAGGGACAGCCTGGAGCACCCACTGGCTGGGAACAGGCTGGGCAGAGCAGCTACTGCCACCATATAGGATTGGTCCTGCTATCTCTGGGGGTTAGGCTGGGCTGTGTCATTCCCTCTGCCTGTTGGCTTAATGAGCTGCCTTATCTGTCATCTTCCCCATGGCAGATGGGGGTCTCTTCAGGATTAATTAAGGATCACAACTATGACCTACTTACTGAGCTGGTGCTATTGTTCCTGGAGCTCCCGGAGCTGCCAGCCTGCTTGATGAAGTTTCTTCTCCTGCTCTGCTCTGGTTACTGGCTCTGTGCACCCTGACAGCACTGTGCTGAGCTCCAGCTGGGCTCCCGTTACATCCATTTCCCTAACAGACACACACATTACCTTTGGGCAGGTAACTGCAAGCTTCTTGCCCGTGGTACACCAGGTATGGGGATTAGAGCTGCTGGCCTACATCTTTCATAGTATTGTTTTCATTTAGGAGCAGGGGGCTGAGGGTGGGCAGAGATCAGCTGCAAGGTGGGGGAAAGAGGTGAGAAAAATGGTTTGGGACCATCCAGTCCTGTGCTACCAGATCCTAAACCACGCTGTTGCTGAACGGGTCTCCCAAGGTTTTCCATCTCTCAGAGGTACTCAGCTCCTCCTCATTTCTAGCTTGTGCATCATTGCAGCAAGCCTTTAGGAGTAAAGGAGCAGAACTGTCTAGAGACTGAGAAAGTCAGGCTCTGCTAACCCTCTTGTTACCTGCCAGATCTTCAGGCAGAGCAATGTTCCAGATGGGAATAACTCAGCGGTTTGCTAAAGCAAATCCCTTCCTTCAGCTGGGCATGGATTGCTCCATGCTGGCGCCTTGTCTCCTCTGCATTCTCTTGCTCTTTCCTTCCTTTCCTTCAAATTGATGAGAGCTCATTGTGTGCAGCAGATTGAATCTCATGCAGTGTGGGCTCCCAGCCACGTGCATAGGTCTGCTCATGGCACATTTGCTGCTCGTGTGAGGGCTTGTGCTCCCTGAGACTCTTTTCATCCCCCCCTATGGAGCCAGTCCTCAACCAGCCTGATGTTCCATGCAGGGTCCAATGGTCTCCCCGGTGGGACCCCAGCAGTTCCCAGTGCTTTCAGATAGGAAGAGTTAGCTGTCAGGCTGAATGAGACCCCTGGGAAGCACCATTTTGCTTTGTCCTCGGAAGCAAGCACAGTGGGGGAATTGCTTGGTTTTTCTTCTCTGCCTCAGAAAAAAAGCCTCTCATGTTCCAGTGACCTGCTTACTATGTAGGTCATCACCAGCTGGAAGAAAGAAAACAGTTTCAGGAGTAGGAGAACTCTAGCAGGGCTCCTCTGCTGACTGATCTTTCTGGAAAAGCATGGAAAGTTGTGGCAATCAGTCTGGCCTTTCCCCTCTCCACTGCTCTGCCCAAGATGATGGAGGAGGGATGTGTGCTGCCTGAGAGTGGGCAGATTGCCCAGGGTCTGGTGTACCCTGTAATGGTGCATGGAGGCAGGCAGCAGGTCTCAAGTCTACTAGTGGTCTGGGCTTTTTGTCCTTTCATGAGCTTGGTTTCAGTAATTAGGTCTGTCCTGCCAGCCATGTGCCTGCATGGCAGAGTCCTGAGCTGGGGAGCAGTCTGTGCTGGGAGGTGGGACGGTCTCACCAGGGTGAAAAGGGGATGTGGAACAAGGAAAAGCCTCTGGGTGCCAATGGGACCCAAACCAAAGCTTCTCTCAGCACTGTGCTGCTGCAGTTAGTCTGGGACTGCTCCACATTGCACACAGCAGAGCTGACTACTATGTGATACCCATGGAGAAGAAAGGAGGCCCTCAGTGCAAGCTGTCACCAGCCAGGACATATTGCTGTGAGGCTTGGAGGAGTGAAGTCCAGCTTCCCTCACACTTGCCTCTATTGCAACAACCCCTAATACCCCTCACTATCCTCTCTTCTTTCCCAAATCCCCTAAATATCAGCTGGCCTGGAGACGCCCTGTGCCCTGGCTGCTTCTTGCTTGGGGAAGCATGGGCACAGCCATGCAGTCTGCTCCCCACACAGCTGAGAAGTCTCATTTGTGCAAGATCTTTGCAGTCAGGCAGGGGAAGGGCAGGGCACCCTGGGGCTGTCACGTCGGCTCGGCACATCCGTGCACCATGCGGATGGCGAAGGGCCGCTGCTGTCACGTAGCCACGGTGAGAACACGGAGGGCCGCTGTTATCTTTGCTTGCAGGAAGGGTTCAATTAGAAACTGTCTCACAAATGTGTGGTTATTGAATGAGTTGCTCGTTTACTATGTATGAGCCATCCCCACAAATGTGCCGAGTGCATCTGTCCTTGGCAGGGTGCAGCTGCTCTGAAGGGAAGCAGATGAGCCTTCCTCGTCACAAGGCTTTCTTCATCGAGACTCTTCTGAATTGTTCCCTGCGTGGAGCAATTCTCCAACAACATTCAGTGCAACAGCAGGGGTGAATCAACTTTATCAAGGCTGGCCTATTTTTAACTCTTCTTTGGTTTTATTTCAAAAAAGGCTTCAAATGCCATATGTCACAGGGCACGGCGATGCTTCTAGCGCAATCGGTGGCCACAAAGAGCTGCCCAGGAATGCACTGTATGGCAGCTGGGGAGAACCTCCTGTTCCCAGCATCCTCAGCCTCTCTGGGACTTGTTTCCACAGTATGAGAGATCTTAACAAAAGGATGGCTGGCTGTGGAGCAAATCAGTTTAACCACCACAAAGCTGAGCTTACTTATGCCTGTCTCACTGCCACCAGAATTTGGCAAGGCCATAAATGTCATGAGATGGGGGTGCCTTAATCCTGGTTCTTAAACCCTGGCAGGCAGGCTGGGGCTCTTGCATCTACTTCGGAAGCATCTGGTGTTGGTCTGAATGAGAGACAGGGCTGAGTGGCCCTTGGGCTTCTAGGTGACAGCACTTGGCACAATGTGGGGCTCTGCACAGCTCTGTTGCGTGAGAACATTGCTTATTTTCTCACCTTTGGTTAGCTCATGTCGAGATAAGTGGTGACTTTGTTTAACCCAGGTTTTCACTCAAACCATGGGACAGCAGTTGAATGGTTGCTGTGGCCCCGGACGTTTCTGAACCACTGTGGCTTTGTGCTGCTCACACACCTCCAAGTAAAGCAAGCAGGCTGCCTTCCCCACCAAGCCTTCATTGTGGCTTAATGAGAACCAGACAAAGCCTCTATGATCACATCTCTCCTTAGC